AAAAAAAAAAAAAATTTTTTTCCAAAATCATTTTAATGTATTTCTCTATAAGCTGGTATAATCAGAGAATATATATATTAAAAAGAAAATCTTACCAAAACTTTTTAGGTAAAAAAGAAAAATAAATACATTAACACATAATCCATAAAAAATAAAATGGTATAAATCCTCCGAAAAACACAATGTACAAAAACTACACGCTGTGCCATAAAAAAATAATTATAGCAGACAATCTTTTGAAAGATCAGAGAGAGAAATAAAAGTGTGTGTGTGTGTGTGTGTGTGTGAGAGAGAGAGAGAGAGAGAGAGATGCGTTAACTTTCTTTAATGACCTCTCTTTAATGACCTCTACTTGTGTGGTATCAGTTACATTTGGGAGAAAACGGCACAGTGGGCCAGGAAATCTTTTACGTTAATATATTCGATTCTTTCTTTTTTTTCAATTTTACCAAGACTAAAATATTGCCTCCCTGATGTACAGTGTATCTGTTAATTATCCCACAACTATTATTTTCTTTTTTAAGAGCGCGTCCATGAGAAAGCCAGACAGATCGGTCAGAAGGCGGCAAGGTGGGGGTCAGCAGATTTTAATAATTTTTGGTGTGGTAAACCAACAACATAAAAGATATTGTGAGCCACTGCAGTTAATTATGGCTTTGCTGACCTAACGGTATATATATATATATATATATATATATATTATAAGTCTCGCCATTTTGTTAAGTTATATCAACAATATTAATTACCTAGTAATATAGTTTGCTTTTATATCATGCACCCTTATTTGATGGGAATGGCTGTTTCTTTTGTTGAATTGCAACTGATCTTGTTTTTATGTACAGACACAGATGTGTATGTACATATTGCCATCACCTGCGTCTGTTGTTGCCGTCGTTGCCGTCACCGTCGCTGTCGCCGTAAACACATTATGGAAAATCCATGTTACTTATGATTGCCAAACTTTCAAAAAAGAAATACAGGACTAAAATGCAGCCTGAGTTGGAAAAGCAGTCTAATTGACTTCTTTTTCTGGAAGTTATACATTTTCAAAGTGTGAACTTGAACTCCCATGGGCCTGAAGCCTTATGCTTGTTACACATTTTACTTACATTGGTATTACCTGTTGAGCATAATTAAGTTTTGATGTTGAATTTGCAGTTTAACATAATGTACTTTTGCATCAGAATTGACAGTAAACTATTTTGTTATTTCCTGCTTTTTGTCTGTACATTTGACAGCTTTGCTGCCTTGTTATTTTAGTGCATTGCATTGCAGTTACATCGCAAACAAAGCTATTCAAATCACATAGTTTCGTATAAAATATACTTGTTAAAACAATAGAATATTCTCACTTATTTTATTAATAATTCTTTGTTTTCAAAACAGCGTATAAATTAAACTCTTTAATAGGTTGGTTTGTGCACAAGAAGTAAAATATAAGGTACTTTAAAAGACCGAATCATTTACATAAATATACATATAGACTTAAGAAGCACGTTGTCGCTGTAACGCAGGGGAAAGAATCATGTATAGATCTATGTCAACGTTTTTGCAGGTACTAGCAACGCTAACTTTTAAGAACCTCTATTCCCGTGATACTATAAAATGCCCTGTAGTAATGTCGTGAGCTAAATTTATGGACCTACTTAGCATTTGCACGAAGTTTATCCATGCGTGCTGTTGTTTATTCATAGTGCTGTCTTTTTTTAAGCAGTACGCTTTATTTACTATTCGTACTAACGCATAAAAGATTAAGGCGTACATTACTGTCAAATGTTGGCCAGCTTGCGACATAGCTGCGTGTTGGGAGCTCTCAAATATTTTGCTTAACATCTCAGCTCCTCGAGTCAAACTCTCCTGTAATTAATTTGTAAAGCCAATCAGCTTTCCCATAGACAGTCCTGTAAGGTTAGTTTCAACCGTCATCTGTTTTATTTTTACACACTGTGAAACTTAACACCTGCTTAGGATATTTAACTTGCCATGAATAGACTTCTGAATGCCCAAGGTAGGTAAAATAAAGGGCACTTTTGCCTCTTAAAAGCCACTTTAGTTGGATAATCTGTGCAAAATGGCGGCCCAAAACTATTCATGACCAGCCGCGAGTACACACATGGGCAACTTAGAACATCTAAGAACACATACCGAGTGAAAAAAAAACATGCATGGCTTCTTTTGGATCGAGTAATCAGGAAGCGAAAAAGAGAGAGATATTTATTTTTAATTATTTCTAAAGATAGCTACTCTTAACTTAATTCTAAGAGACATGAGTTATAATTTTGCAACCTTAGTGTTAAGTATTCTTCAAATTGAGGGATAATGTTTGTGATTTGTGATGCTGGGATGTCACAATGCTGCAGCCTAGATGCAATGCTTCCCATTATACTTAGTTATTACATCAACCGTAACGCATTGGCTACAATAGTGAAAAAAATGCACATTTTTGGGGAAAGTGGTAATTAGCTTAGGGAAAGTGAAACTTGGAAGCAACAATTATGAAATGTACTTTTAGGGCAAACTTTACTGTCCCCACTGGCTTGATTGCCTTTTTCACTGCTAAGCTGATGTAAGATTTATGCCCTGTTACTGCACATACACAATTGGCTTGTTGTAACTCATTCACTTTGCGCTGCCCGCTCATGGCAACTGCCCTGTGCAGGTTGAAAAATTTGATCATCTAATGTTAGATAACCCCAAAAACATGATTTTTAGGCCATTTTACCATATTACATGCCTGAAGGGAAAACCAAGTCAATAACAATGAATGATTGAAGGGCAGGTTTGACAGGGAAATCAATTTTATGGCACTTTTCCTGCCAAAATGAACAGTTGTTATCATAAGGTAGCATGTGTTTCAAAATGAACAGTTGTTATCATTTTGAAATTATTCTAGTATTTTAAATAGATGTTATATTATTTTTTTAACACTGTTCTGAGTGTTTTCTCATGTTTGCAGCTTTCCAGACAGGCCTGTCTACAGTTTTCAAGAGGGAAACATGTTGTAATCACTCCAGTTGACAAACCTAGATTTTTTGGTAAATAAACATCTGTTTGTTGTATTTCTTAAAATTCTGAAGAACAGTATATGGTAATGACTCGATCTTTTCAATGGGCAAAAATATCAAACTTTCAGATATATCATTTTTAAATAATAAAAATTATATTTTTGTATAGCATTTGTGATGCTTTTAATGCATGGAATAGAACTATAAGGTAGTATGTGTTTCAGTTTTCATTGCTCAATAGGAATGCTCTTATTTTAAGAAATTCTTACTTAAACAGTATCTGTAAAATTCACAATTTTTCCCCATTGAAAAGATTGAGTCATTATCGTACTTTATTAAGTGCTGACCTTGCACCAGTTTTTATGTACAGACACGGTGTGTCTGCACATATAACCATAACCTATGCTGTTGTTATTATTGTAGCCATGAACCTCATACTTGGTGTTTTTCAATTTACCAACCTAAATAATTTGTCATAGAGATAAATGGTTGTCAGATTTGTGTTAGGTCCAAATTTTGCCTCAGAAATCACCTTTTATTGAAAATTTTTGAGATTTACCCTACCCTAGCTAATGAACCAAATCTTGGCTAAGAAGAGAATGACCAGCAACATTTTTTACAATTTTCTCCCGGGTAAACATGAATTAAGTGTTAATCATTGCCTTGTCAAGCTTGCCTTGTTAAAATAATGATAATGAATAGGCTGAAATAATGGTTCAGCTGTTTTCATTTTACACAAACATTCTTTAATCTCATTTAAATTCTTGTATATTGTTACCTTAAATGCAGCTTTACATCTACACATGAAATACATTGTACCATAACTTACTGAATTGCTCATATTTCTTTAAAAAAAAGGTGTCACACCATTCAGTTGACCAGTATTTACAGCCGGCTGTCTCCAACAAATGGTCGTTTTCTGTAATATATAAGTACTACTATGAATTTGAGGATTTCAGTTTTGCCTGACATATTCCAGTTGTGTTAGCAGTCCAAAACTCTATTCCCATAAAGACACCATCAATTTGCTTGCCATTAGCTTAATCTTGGACATAATAACGAATGGACTAGAAACGAGGAGCAAGATCGAAGGATAATTGGCTTAGCGTGAGCTCTTCATGAAACCATGTGCGTTCAGATCACATGACCTCCTGTACAGGTAGCGAGCATATCGCGGTTGTTGATGACTTTTTGTGTCATTTGGACAGATAGATGGGGATAACATGAGGCAGTCTTTTAGGTGGATGAGACAATAAACTTATAGAGATTAAGTACAAGTACAATTTGTACTATTAATTTGGCAGCTATGTGAGTATTTGATAGTTTTGTTCATGGGGGAATTCAAAATGCCCTATGTGGTAAATGCAATCTTGTTTGTTTCGGTAAAATGACCGTTTAAAATTGTATAATTATAGTGTAGCATACTTGTTTTTAGCTATGATCCGATAAAAAAATATTTCTAGTGTCGAAATTTATTCTCTATGTGAGAAATTAGCCTGAGATGCGGCAATAATGAAACCTTAAATCGTGTTTTGAATTAAAATTATGCAATTTCTTTCCGATTTCTTAGGCTCGCTGACATTTCTTTAAGGCTGGTATTTTTATGTACCTTTTAAATAAAGATGATGTCAGCAGTGCTGTGCACTTTATATATAGATTCATGCTACTTGTTTAAGTCTGCTCTATTTTTGGAATGATAATTAATATATTTTTTTTTTTGCTCTCAATATCCGCTCTCGTTGCAATATGGCACCACACATGGATTTGTGACACACAAAAATGAACCCGTAATACCTTTTAAGTTCTCGGCAAATTGATCAGATAAAACTGTCGAGAGCAAGTGGCCGGCACTTGTGTTAATACGAGTTTTTGACAGGTTACCCTGCAGGATTATTTTGCACAGCACTGGGTAATTGTCAGATCAACGGAAAAATCCAGTGAATACTTTAGAGCGGTATCTCTCGAAATGCCAGCTAAGATCAAGGGGAGACGCTCAGCTGCACAAGAATCAGCAATAAAAGTGGTTGAGAGAGGGTTTTTGAATAAAATGACAGAGTGTGGGTGAGTTTTGAAACCACGAACGTGTTGATTGTAAAAAAGTATCTATTCGTATCTTTTGAAGCATGTTAAAGTTTCGTCGGCATTTTACTGTGGATTGCGTCTAATACGAGATCACTCCCCGTATTTAGGCCAACATGATATTGTTGATTTAAGGAATATTAACTCTTCGTTTTTGCCAAAAAATGGATTTTCCTGAAGTAAACAACAATTTTCCCCTACTTACCAATGGTTAATGAATCCATTTTCACATTCGAAGTTAGTTCCTGTTTTTTTTTCTAAAAAGTTTGGTTTTTTGTTTAAATCTCTTAAGAGTATAGCTATCAATGGAGGTCACATGGTCTGAAGGCAAGCTCAGATATCAAAATAATAGCTATAACTGCCGTTTTTATGGTAAAACAGAATATATTATATTTCTACGAGTTGTTCACAATGTTTTTATTGTGAAATATAGATCTCATACGAAGAGTTATTGTGGTGGTGCTTTGTCCAACCTTGAGTAAAGTGATAAGATCAGTTCTGCCATAGGGAACATTTAGCAGTTTTGAACAGGACTCTGATAACAGGAAGCAACAATGAAACTTGACTGTCACCCAGATCAAGATTTGCCTGCCAAGTTCAAGCTACAACTAAAGTATTTACATAAAACAAGTTCATCAGTGATACATTGGGAAAAAAAATAGAGCATTTTATTACATTGAGTAAGCAATTAATCAATTTTAAATAACTTGCACGCAGAGAAAAATGCCCACTGAGAAAAGTAGATGAAATGGTTGTGGTGCTCCTATCTTGCAAACCCGCTAACATTATTTTTTTAACTATGCTGTCAACCCTCGCTTGACTTTCTCTCATTTGGCCATTCACATCACAATTTTTTCGCGTGTCTCTCAAGCTCCATAATATCATATCTCGTAGAAGAAAACTTTATTTTGTCAACATTAGAGTTTTTATCACTAGATTTTCTGTTGCATTTTATAGCTGATTAAGTACCCTTTGCAAACGGCGACCAACAATCATGTCCAGTTTCGTAACGTGTCACAGATACATGGGCCGATATATATCGCCAAAATTAAGATCTAGCATCGTTTCTAGCGTATGTTTTTTTTGTTATCGATTTTTCTTACAACTGTCCACTGTGCCAAAGTCTGTACCTAGTAGCTACTGTTTCTTCCTCACACTGTTTCTTCCACTGTCAGAGGATTCCGACAACTGTTCAAGATCCTTCAGAATCTTATGAGCGCTCACTCCATGTAGATTCTCTCTCTTATCATCCGACTGAACGAATACCGGTTTTCCCCAACCACTGCCCATACTCTCTTTCAAAATTTTTCTTTCTTTCCTCTGGAAATGTATTTTTTACATGAACTTGCTGAGCTATGACTTATGATCTATTACTGCACAAGTAATCGGCTTATAATTCATTAACTATGCTCCGCTCCTCATGGCAATGGCCCTTAGCAACAGAGGCGTGGCTTAGTCGTCAGCCTGACTGGGGCGTGTGCCAGTTGAAAAACTCATCAAAAGACACATTTTGCAGTGCAAATTCAAAAAAAAATTATTACATCCAACGTTAGATACTTTTTTGATTAATATAAACACATAAAAAACTCAAAAACATGATTTTAAGCCTAGTTTACCCTATTAGTGGCCTTAAATGACTAAGTTAATTGGCCAAGCTGCCAGTTTGTTTGTATGGCATGTGCAGGGTATGTCTTAGATCAAGGGCGTATTCCCATAGATTTTAGATCGATCTATCCCCGTGGGGAGTCTCACTAGATTACTGTCAGATAATCCAGATTAAATGACTGTCCCACCTACTACAAGCTGTAAGGGGGTAATTAACTTTCGTGCCCGCTCGGCTGACAGCTATTTAGCGTGAACCCCCAGGGAGTTAGATCGATCTAGTTTGGACTGATCTAATCTCTGGGAATGGGGTCCTAGGCACATATTATGATACTTACAGGTGTGGCAAATGAGATATACTTGTATTTCATTACCTGTGATTTGTAAAATACATCTGAGGATGATACTTTTAAAGATGTTTAATGTTTAAAGAAAAGACATGTAGATTGATTTAGTAACATTTACTAAAGAAATGTTAAATTATTATTATGTCCAAGTGACCATTAAAGGAAAACTATGTCACATACTCTTCTCAGACTTCCAAGAAAGAAAGAAACAGAACTATAATACAGCTTCAATTGGAAAATCTTTCTTATTGGTTAATTTTTCTGGAAGTTATATAGTTTTTTTGTTAAAAGTAAGCTTTTGAATTATCATGGGCCTAAAGCTTTGTATTTTTACTTTTATTGGTATTACCTGTTGTGCATAATTAAAATTTGATGTTGACTTTGCAGTTAAGCATAAGATATTTGTGCATCAGAATTTACAGTAGCCTATTTTGTGCATTATTAGTACCACCAGTGTATACTCTGGCAGTACTTTCTGCTTTTTGTCTGTACATTTGACAGCTTTGCTGCTTTATTTTTAGTTTACTTGGCAAGTAAATTTCATTCATTAGCCAGCTGTGCTGTCTAGTGCAATATTATATTGCAGAACATCAATCTTGGGTAAAGTATATTAAAGCGGCATACAAACCAAGGGGGGAGGGGTGCTATCATTGTTGTTGAGATGATATAAGATTGTTTATTTTAAATAATCGTCACCGTTAGATGTATATATACTGACAGTCAATGAAAACGCATAATTTATTTATCAAATAATATTTTAAGTTCCTTTGGCACAATAAGAAAATAACAGTTTTTGTGTGAAATATGACCCATTATTCAGTCACACATGGTGGAATCAAGGTCAGAAAAGATCATCAAAATGCTAGGTCACGTGATCAAATCTCTTTGGTTCCGCCCAGCCTCCAGCATCCAAAGGGTCCGCAGTCACTCTTCCAGTTTTCTGATGCCTTTTTACTTTTCATTGAGTGTCAGTATATTATTCGTCAAAACACAGTGTTAACTTCGGTTTTTGTCTGTTCTTCGTGTTCAGTTTTCTGCTCTGCTGTCTTCAAAAAAAAGTTTGCGTGAGCACAATATCTTCACTGCGTGTGCACCTTTTACTTCTTATACTATTAGGGCTTCCTAACCAGTGTGGCGATTGCATCATTCGATGTTGTCTCAGTGCAAGGTTTTTGAACGTTAAACGTCTTATTTATCTCTGTTGACATGCCATTGCCCTGTCTATTATAATCCTACTTTTATTTGTGCAAATTTTGTGTTGTGCTTCCTTCTGCTTTTTATTCCTCTTAGGTGCTAAAAAGTTTTTTCTTTCTGGTACGACTGCTCACTTGACCTTCACTGATGGAAAGTAGGTTGTTCAGTTTTCCCACACTTCTTCCCGCACATTCATTCATATGCTAGTATCTGAGTCACATAACATGCAAAGTACATTTCAATCGCAGGATGTAAATGCGATTTTAGTTCTTAATTTCTATGCACTTGGTGCATGTTAGATGTTAAATTTGAAATAGATCTTGTTTATTTGAAGTGTTTGATGCTTTGAAAGTGCTGTTTTTATGAATAATTTCCAACTAAAACTGCTTTGTATGCCGCTTTAAGAATAATTTATTTAAAAGGATTTTGGCTATGAAAACAATAACAAATAAATAAATAAATAAATAAATAAATAAAATAAATAAATAAACAAACACAGTATAAAGTTTGTGTAAATTTTTATAGTAGTATAAAAGCTGCCTGAAAATGTATGTTACAATTCTCAGATATATAGTAATAAATAGTATTGGCACTTTTGTGAAGAACCTCTCACTACTTTTTTCTGCAGGTATAAACAAAGTAATAATACTAGGGAGCCTTGCCAGTGTAGTCAGAAATCCAGGAAATGATGATTCATTTTATACGTTCACTTTGGCAAACAACAGAACAGGTATGTAAAAATAGTGCAGATACAGTGATTGATCAGACATATTGTGAAACACAAAACTAAAAATGTAACATTAAGATGCTCTCTGATAATCATTTTGACAATTATAAGCAGTTAACTAAGCAGTTAACTATAGCAACTACCAGACTGGGCATTAAATGATCCTGAATTCACCGGTAGATCGGACCACACTACCCATTTTCAAGCATTAACATAGATGGCATTGCACAGTTCCTGTCTGGACATTGTTTGGTAGACTCGCATTGATTTTGATAATGTTTGAATGTTTGTTGTTGGCCTCATTTCCTTCTACCTTTTTTCGGTGGGTTAACGAGGCATAACAATGGTTAAGATGTTTAAAACTAGTATCAGTCACATGCACAGATTTGAAGCCGTGTGTTTCCTCATTCTGACCACATGGGTGTGAATATGGTAGGGATTTGTGCCAACAACGTGTTGATCTTCAAGGAAGCCACACGTAAAGGATGCGGCAATTGCACTGAGACTGAAGGGGCTCCATACCATCCCTTTTAGCATCCCTGTCAGCAAAATGGCACAGCACCAGCATGTAATGTAAACATTCTTGCAATAGCCTGTAACCATTTACATACTATGTCATGTTAATCACACAGAAAAAAATTTATACAATTCATTGCAAGGCGTCCATATCAAATTTTTATCTAGGCTTCAGCAATTGGAGCTTTACTAGGTGGCAATTTTCATATGGTCAGGGGGAGATGGTTAGAGATCCTAAGGAGACATGAAGGCAATTTTCATATTTGTTTAAGGGATTAATTTACCAGAAGACCCTTATTAGTACCACCAGCGTGTGTGCGGGTGGTACTCATGGTTTTAGTCCCGACCTGTCTCCGCCAGTTCCTGTGGCTTTGCAGGATGGCATGGGATACAAGTCGCCATTTCTGCTTCTCATATGTGGGATTCCAAATATGCCCTTGGATTTGACTTTATTTCAAGGTCAAATGGCCCATAATTTTCTAAAAATGATAATTTTCTGCAAAAAAATATTTGTTTGTGCCAATTTTCAGAAACTACAGAGACTTCAGATTTCATACTATAGTCAGGGGTCACAATTAGGGACTCCATTCAACTTTGGGAGTTTGGAGTCAATCAGTGCATTTTAACAGTAGAAGCAGCCATTTGATGCCGAAACTGAAAACTCTCTCCAATTCTGGAATGGTAAATGCTGGAAACCTTGTTTTTTTTTGCATTTTCTAGAGCTTGTCAAGTGCAATACTGGAGGTGGTATCCATTTTTTTTCCATA